CTTTCATGAGTGTCTTAAAGTTTTATCTCATCTAGGTCTTGCATATATCTTAAGTTTATTCCTAAGTATTTAATATTTTTTTTGTTAAGAAATGAAATTCTTTAGTTTATTTATTTATTTATGGCTGTGTTGGGTCTCCGTTTCTGTGCGAGCGCTTTCTCTAGTTGCGGCGAGCGGGGGCCGCTCTTCATCGCAGTGCGCGGGCCTCTCACTATCGCGGCCTCTCTTGTTGCGGAGCACAGGCTCCAGACGCGCAGGCTCAGTAGCTGTGGCTCACGGGCCTAGTTGCTCCGCGGCATGTGGGATCCTCCCAGACCAAGGCTCGAACCCGTGTTCCCTGCATTAGCAGGCAGATTCTCAACCACTGCGCCACCAGGGAAGCCCCCTAAGTATTTAATCTTTATTGCCATTGTAAATTGGATTTTTCTCTTCCATTCTATCTTTTTTTTAAAATAAATTTATTTTATTTTTATTTATTTATTATTTTTGGCTGTGTTGGGTCTCTGTTGTGGTGCACGGGCTTCTCATTGCAGTGGCTTCTCTTGTTGCAGAGCAGGGCTCTAGGCGCACAGGCTTCAGTAGATGCGGTGCGTGGGCTCAGTAGTTGTGGCTCGTGGGCTTAGTTGCTCTGCGGCACGTGGGAACTTCCGGGACCAGGGCTCGAACTCGTGTCTCCTGCATTGGCAGGCGGATTCTCAACCACTGCGCCACCAGGGAAGCCCCCCAGTCTATCTTCTGATTATCATTTGCGGGAATGAAGGCTATTGGTTCCTGGGGAGCAGGCTGCCTGCCTGGCCCATGTCTGTGGTGGGCAGTGCAGGTGGCACAGCTTAGGTGGACGTGAGGAAGCAAACACTCAGCTAACGGCAGCCAATCACCACCCAGCAAGTGATTTACAACTGGGCACGGTGTATGCCAACGCCTGGCGGCTCTCCCTCTCGCTGGGGTCCCATAAGCTTCTCCTTGACCATGACGGACACAGTGACCTTGCTAATAGCTCTTTCTCCAGGCAATGTCTGCAGAAATGTACAAGTGGCTTCAGTTTAGTTCAGAACGACAAAGAACTCTCCAGAATGTGAAAGTAACCAGCTGCTCTGCCGTTGGCATGGGATTTGAAAAAGACCATTTTTAAAGGTAATTTGTGTAGCATTTGTCGCAAGGAGACCTTAGCTTTTAACGCATTCTAAGGATGGCTCGTCACGTAGATAGGGATGTGTGTGAATTCTACAAACGTGGGTTTTAGGGGAGCCCCCAGATGCCCTAACGACAGGGAGGGAGAAATCAAAGGAGAAGAAACTGAGGCAAACAGCAAACACGCTCTTCACACGACATTGAGCCCCTCCTGCAGCACCGACGCTCCTCTCGGCTCTTCCAGGGCATCTACTCACCTCGTACAGCAAACTGATTGCTGTTCTTACAGCCTTTCAGTGAAATAAAGCAAACAAATGAACATTTATCCCCTGGGGAACGTTGACACCAGACCAAGTAGAAAAGTCAGACTAGTCTCCCTCTCACCACCTTCCCCAAACACACCACGTCTCACGACATTTGCAAAGTTGAGTAAGTGTCCACGGTCCTCATTCTCAAGCTTAAAACTTGGAAAACTAAGAACATTTCAGGAGCTCATTTCAAAACCTACTTTTCAGATCTGGTCATAGCATTACTGCCAAGAATGAATGGGGAAGCCGGATTAAAGATACATTTAAAAACATCCCCGATCACTTTTAACATGAGTGACCTGCAAACAGTGACTTGGGGCTGACAGGCTGATCGTGCCTGTCCTTCCCAGGATCCTGGGCCCAGTTTCCAGCAAGAACTAAGGTCCTACCTAGTCCACCAGTTCTCAGTTCTCGGGAGGCCCTCTGGTGACACCTTGTGGGCACTTCTGATACCGCAGCCGCGCACCACCTCGGCCGGGGGACCAGTCACCGGACACTGGGCAGGCAGCCTGGCCCCTCGCCCTGCTCGGAACTGAGAGGCAGGACCGCAGCCTCGGCAGGGAGGGCACGGCCGCACGTGGGTGAAGACCCCAGCCAGCGGGAGAAAACGCTCAGCTGCTTCCTGGCTCTCCCTCCCCACGAGCCAGACCCTCTCCAGAGACGCAATGGACTCCCTGAAAAGGCCGACCTGACTCCCACTCGTCCAGTAGGGCAATGGTGGGCCCACCGCCGGGCACCGAGGCCCAGACAGAGCCTGCACACCTGGAGAGCCCTGTGCCTCGGGGCACCTGTTAGAGTGCCTGTTAGCCTCGCCCCATCCCACATGAGGCTGCCATTTGTAGGCGAAGAAACTACAGCCAACGTTACACAACGTGCTCAAGGTCACTCATCAAGTGGCCGAGCCACGACCTCATCATCCCACGTCTTGCAAACATTTCCACTGAGGCACCCCAGCAGCTAAGGAAGTGAGCCCTTCCCGCCCAACGGGTGACCACAAACCACACGACTTCCTGCCAAGCCTTCTCTCAAAAGTGCATGCAAACTTGTGACATTCAAAGGAATTCTCTGAACTTTCTCATGTTAGCACTCTCTACGAAAATTTAAAATACACTTGTGGCTTCCCCGTCCCTCAGCCACGCCCACTGACGCCCTTAAACTCCTCGAATGGGCAATTCTCAGAAAATGCTTAACTTTACTAATATAAGACGTACCCATTTAAACCACGGTGACAGCATGTTTTCATCACATTAAGAAAAAACTAAGCCAATGAAACAGCTGATGAGGGTGTGGGGAAACTGATGAGAGGAAGGCGGTGTGGCTTCCTGATGGCAACTGGCACCTCCCACCAAACCCTGAAACACGCCCCCTTCGGCACAGCAAGGCCGTCAGGAAACCCTCTCTGAGCAGCCGGGCAAAGGAGCGATGACACGCCCAGGCCCTGGGAGACCACGCGGCAGCCGTAAGGATGCCTGTGACCTTGCCTGTGACCTTGACTGCTTTCCTGACCTTTCACTCTCTGCGCCACTTCAGTGTCTGTTCACGCAGGTCCTTAAGGAAAATACTAACTTCTCAGAAAGTCTTAAATACACTTAAATGCTCCAATCACAGTTAAGAAACACGAGTTGACTCCTAAGTTGATAATTCCTGATAAAACGTGCACATCTTTTGTCCTTTAGTTTGCATGATCAAGAATGGCGCTAAAAAGTATGACGTGAGCCCCGCCTATTTTTTTTTTTTTTTTTTTTGCAGTCCGGGGGCCTCTCACTGCCGTGGCCTCTCCCGTTGCGGAGCACAGGCTCCGGACGCGCAGGCTCAGCGGCCATGGCTCACGGGCCCAGACGCTCCGCGGCACGTGGGATCTTCCCGGACCGGGGCGCAAACCCGTGTCCCCTGCATCGGCAGGCGGACTCTCAGCCACTGCGCCACCAGGGAAGCCCCCCGTCTACCTACTTTTAAAATTTCTAGTAGCCACAATTAAAAAACAAAACAAAACCAGGTAAAATTCACTTTAATGTTTTATTTAATCCATCATATCCAAAATACTATTTCGGCCTGTAAATATTTTTAACAATGAGATATTTCACTTTATTTTTTGGCATTGACTTCGAAACCCAGTGTCTCAATTTGGACATTAACCTTGAGAAAGACCTGATCTGTATTTAGATTTTATAAAATTTTACAGCTGAAAAACCAGATTCACATATTCATGTTCTTGACATACTCAACACGGTTTCCTAATGACTGGATGAAGGTGACAGCTCTGCGGCTACGCTGGACGCTGGCTCCACGTGCTCCCTAGCGGCCAGTGGCCGCTGCACTGGCCCTGGACCGCAGAAGGGGCTCCGTCCACGTAGTCCCCAGACCCAAAGCGTCAGGAACGCCGCTGGGGTGGGGTCGGGGGCGGTGGCACTGCTCTACCAGGCCCCACCCGATTCTGGTACAGCTAGACAACCACGGGTCCAGATCTAACGCCACCAACAGGACAGGGCGTAGAAAGAGCTGGATAACCCGCCCGTGGGATGGGAACTGAATACACCCCCCAACCACTATATATATATATATATATATATATATGTAAAACATCGTTATTGGAGTATGATTGCTTTATAATGGTGGGTTAGTTGCTGCCATACAACCAAGTGAATCAGCTATGTGTATACATGTATCCCCATATCCCCTCCCTCTTGCACCTCGCTCCCACCCTCCCTATCCCACCCCTCTAGCTGGTTACAACCATTATATTTTGAGGCTATGAAACCAAACAAGGAAGAGTAACTGCTTGGATTTTTGTTAATCCGCAAGCAGTGGGATGTCTGGAGCGCACGGCTGGACGCCCCTGGGGCTATGCCTGCGATGGCATTTCTCTTCATCCGGTTCCCTGAGGTCCCAGGAGATGACGGCGCTCCTGACAGGCCCCAAAGCCCTCGGTGTCACCCCAATGCTTGCAGTCAGAGGGTCACAGGCTGTTCTCTCAGTCGAACAGGAGCGGTGGGCTGGGGGCCACCTCTGGACAAGGACCCCCAACAGGGTAGGTGTAGTCCCGCCCCCGTGCCTGGGCTCAGATGGCTGATCACCACACAAGCCACGTGAGGAAGACACAGTGAGATCCACTGTCGGTGGTTTAAGTGACAGAGGTTAAGTGACAGAAGCCCCTGGCGGCTGAGCTCAGGGCAGAGCTGCTCGCGGTGGGACGTGTGGAAGGGCTAGAGCATAAAAGCATCCACAAAGTGCAAATCATGGATGGAAAGAGGCCAGTTTGAACAGATACAGTCACATCAACGCTTTACTCTCCAGCTGAAAGAGAAGAAAACAGCTTATGCTCTTAGGTTTGTCTTGATTAACGAGAAGCGGGTGATCGTACAAGACATTCGCCAAACACAGCGCTTCAGAAACCAGCTATGAAGTGTTACTCTCGTCACCCTGTGCTGGCGGGACCTGCGTGCGCACCCGGGGCTGACAAAGCTCAAGGCCGGGCGTGCGTCCCCCTCCATCCCATCCAGCTGTGACGGAGTGAGGAGCTCCAGGTGGCCAGGCATGAGCCGTACCGTGACCGCTGAGCACTCACCGGCGGGACAGAGAACCGCCCCGCCTGACACAACGGCAGCGACACCACGTGCCCCCGGACCAGTACCTGAAGCGCCGAGCCAGCCAGCCGCCCGGCCCCTCACGTGAAGCCCCCGACGGCCCAGGTTCCGAGTCCCTCGCTGCCGAGCACCTGCGCAGAAGGGTCAGGTCAGAGCTCAGCCAACCCCTCACCGGTGCCGAGAGCCACGCACGCAGGGACGAGGTCACCCCCCAGCCCGGCTCGGGCACAGACACCATGAGAAACAGCCGAGTGGAAGTGACAGGTGACTCGGGCTTCCATTTCTACCCACGGGAGGTGGGGGCAGACGTTTCCACCGACCCGAGGAACGTTCTCCCTGTAAATAACCGGTGAAGGGGCTGAACTGAACTGCCCCCATCAGAAGGTGGGGTGGAGTCCGACACCCGGGACCTATTTGGAGGCAGGGTCGCTGGAGGTGTATTAGGGAGGGTGAGCTCACAGTGCGCTGACCCCACAGACCAGTGTCCTCATGCAAAGGGGACACTTGGACAGCACCGTGCACAGGGAGAACGCCACAGGAAGGTGAAAAGCCAGGGTGACGCGTCCACAAGCCAGAGAACTCCGAGCCTACAGGAAGCACCCTCGGCGAGGGGGAGGCTGGAGGAGACCCTCCCCATGGCCCCGCACGGTGAGCAGGCACTTCTGGCTCCAGAACTGCAGTCCCAGCAAACAACGACTAGAATCCGGCTTCAATTTGGAATCCGCTTTTAATTAAGATCATATTCACCCAAACCCCTACAGCAAGTGGTCAACACCAAGAGCGGAGCATGCAACACGGGTCCAGGCTGTCCCAACCCCATGCAGGCCGAGCCGGGCCTCTCCTCACCCGGCCGTGCTGGCAGGGGGGCCTCCGCGGGCGCAGCCGTGGCCCTGAGGGTGTCTGTGCTGAATGCAGAAGCTGCCGCAACACTCGGCACAAGCCACCCGCAGCATCTCTTTCCCCTCTTTTGAGCAGCGGCACGTGAAAATTTGAGAAGGTACAAGTCGCATCAGTGCTCCAGCAGCCTCACCGAGCAATCACCCAACCAGCCCCCGCCCCCGTAAGACCATCGGCATTTAAACTAGAAATGGCCCTTAGCTACACAGAATGAAGGCACCGGGGTTTCACTGAGATGTCTTTCTGTCAGGTAAACAAGGAAATACTAGTTTAGGAGACAGAAAAGTTTTAACAAGTGGTAAATACAAAAGCGGCATTTTAAGTTGGTGTCTCATGTGAGATGCTTGGGGGGGTACTCCAGGAAGAGAACAAGACGGGGG